ATCTCAGATGGTAAACAAAATAGATAACAATTTTCAAAAAGGGATCCAATTCAGCTAATAAATATCTTCAGGGATCGATATAAACTGGGCATGTACAACAAAATTGTAGTAGAATCAGACAACTTACAAGTTCAGTCTCTACATTGCATGAAAGATAATGGTTTTTGCAACAAAGCCAATACAATACCACATGAATCCTTGAGAAAATCACTAAAACTTGCTTATTCCAAGTAAAGTTATTAGCCACGTCAACCCTAAGATTTTTGGCTCTATTAACCAGTGACACGTCCATCAATCAGCAGAGACAGTAGCTTAGTGATATTAATACGCATAAACTGCTTGCATATTCTAAGAAGCAATACCACAGTCTTGAAGTAGTACAGAGCCAAATATGAAATACCATGGTAAGGTAAGCAAGATTTACTACAGGACGAGAATGAGAAGGGCATAATGAGCGCAGAACCATAAAAAGCAGTATAATGACGTCTTTTTTCCAGAAATTCTTTGTAAACGTGAGTATTAAAGGAAAGATTGGTTGAAAAGGTATTTAAAAAAATTGAAAAAAAGAGAAAGAGAGAAGGCGAGAATAGGTGGATAGAAAATGTGACAAAAAAATATTATATTTGAAAATAATTTGTTTATGCCAAAGACAAATAAGACGTCCAAATGGCAATCTATACCCAAACAGAAATCTATGGAGGATACCTCCTTAGTTCGTGAGGACCTCTATAGGTATCCTACAGCGGACCTACTGAGGCAAAGTAACGTGGCGTACAGTTGGTCCTCTTTAGGTATTTACCTTAGGTATTTACTTTAGGCTAAATAACCGTGTGCATAACCAAACTTAAAGCATTTTTCCAGTCAATAAATATGTGTGAATTCAATAAAAGCGAGGTACAGAAATCGAGTTAATCTGTCAGAGTAAGAGAGCTGCTAGATTCAGTAAACAAATTATGACGACAATCGTTTCATAAATGAAAAATAATCTAACTTATAAATATGTAAATTATTGATTAAATGAGATATTTTGTGTCTCAAAAGTACCTAAATTGCGTATACTTTTAATACTTAATGTAGTTATTTAACATATAAATATATATTAAGTATTGAAAGTATAAGCAATATCAGTACTTTTGAGATGCAGTATCTCAAAACTATACACAATAAACTTAAGTACAATGCCAAAAGTTTACATTTTTCATCACTCTGCACATTTCCGTTAAATAATCATTATAATTGTGGCGTTAAAGTAGTCGTAATTTCTTTAATTATTGTACAGCACGTAAAAGTCATTTAAGCAAGTAAACATTTTTTGCACCAATCGATTTTTTATTCCATACTAAAACACCTGCAGGTATAATAGCGTATTTCGTTGTAACATTATTTCACTCTCTCACATTGAATTTATACATATATTTTAACTCTAGAGACTCTTCAAGTTTGGTTAGGTACACAGTTATGTGGGATACCTAAAGAGGACCTACTGTATGCCACGTTACTTTTCCTCAGTTGTTCCTCCATAGGCTATTTAGGTATTCTCTATAGGGCCTCTCGTTTGCCTCAACAAGATTCCTGTTCGGATACATATAAATGTACAAATAAAAATTATTTATACAAAAATGGGTGCTTACAATATAATTATTCATGATTGATGGGATAGAGCAGTTTCCAAATTTATACAATAACGAAAAGCTTCAAGAATATATATCTATATATATATATCTGTATATATACATACACATATGTACTTGTGTTAAGTAAAGACTTTCATAAAATTGTCAATTTATTCTATTTTATATTATATACATTCCCTCAATGATCAAATCTTAAGATTCTTAAAAGAGTCATACTTATGGAAAGTTATCACCTAACAAAGCGGACTGTGTACTTCATAGCTCTCAAAAGTGTCAAGTAACAACCGAAGTGAGCAGCTAAGCGTAAACACATGAATTCAGCAAGTACCGGCCCCATAGCATGCAAAACAAAAAAGTTTTAACTAAGGCTCTGCGCCAGGAGTATTTCTTCATGCAGCGTTTTAGTTAGTAGCTCACCACTGTTCATCAACTGTGCTTCCTAATTCATTACTTAGAACCTCAGATACACTATTTAAATCTTAAGAAATCTGTTTTAATTGCAATTGTTCCATTTGAATAAAAATTGTAAGTTTAGCGAACTGATATATAGTGCCTCATTTTATAAATTCATAATACCAAAAGAAATGTCAAACCGAAGAGCTGTACAAAATTAAAGTACTGAAGTTATAATTTGATTGTACGTCATGAGTTGAAGTCACATATTGCCTGGAGTTACGAGTTAATTGGTGACATTAAAGACAGAGATCTAAGAGAAGAAAATAGAGATAAAGGTATTATAACATATTGATTTCATCAACACAACATCTTCTCTCTCTTCTTTTCTATGAATTAGTAAGTAGTTAGACTTTCTGCTGGTCCCGTGGACTGTAAAGGAGGGTGGGACTACGCTCCACAACCTTCAATTTAAAACTGAAGATAGAGTTAAATAAAAGAATTAATCATGTAACAATTTTTAAGGCTCTGCCTCCTACGCACTTCGCGCACCAATCCCCCATTTTCAGTATTGGAAATTGATTAGAAAAATGAAAATATTTGTCATTTTTCTTTTTTTTTCAAAAATATTAATAACAATAGGTAAATATGTACTAATATTGATTTCATCTACGTATTTAAATACATAGTAAGTACATAGGTATAATAAATATAAAAACGTAAATGTCACATGTTAAACTATTTTTCTTCAAACGGCCTCTTTGAAGATAGTGCTTAAGACTGATTAGCGATGACTTCCATAGTTCTTATAACTTCATTACATGATTTTTGAATCATCAAACATGTGTGTGCATCATGTTGCACATTTATATGCATTTAAAGAAAAAACTTATGAACTAATGTATAAATAATTACAACAAAAAAAGTCAGCAAGCTTGTCGATTTGACTCATGGATGGTATGGAAAAAATAATTAAAGAAGTTTTTTTTTTTAATTCTAAAAAGGATAATATAAATTATAATTTTCCTACTAACAATATATACTAGACCATATAATTTTAAAAGACGTAAGGTAGAATTATGGTGAAAAGAAGTAGGGCATTCTTTAATATACAAAATAATCAACCCACCAAGAAATTGTATTCGTTTCCTTATTTTATGGTGGGAATCATAAAACTGCTACCACGATAGTAGCATACTGATAGTACTTTTCATGGAGTTTCTATTGATTTATAAGTAAAAAATCATATTCAAATTTCAAAATTTTTCCATATGGATTGTGATTCTGTATAACCATATCGTTTTATTTCTGTTTTAATAATTAAAAACTTGTGAAACCCAGTTAACAACTCTATTAAGAGTGAGGGTGACACCACTGTCCTACCTTCCTGAATATATTATGGTACTTAACAGAAATTTCGCGTAATTTTTTTAGAAGCATCTTACCCATTTGCTTGTTTACGAAAGTTACATATTTTCGATTCCAGCTGATGTGTGCTTAATAAAATTAAATTATATTGTTTACTTGATGCAAAAGTTATTTAATACTCAGGCATGTTTCTTACATCGTTTTCGTACATTGATAGATAATTGATATGATTGACAGGTAATTAATGTAGTCATGTTAACTAAATTGTTATTATTTATAATTTTTCGACGTAAATTTAAAGTCAGATAGATAAAAAAAAAATTTGTTCTGGGTAAATATTTATCAATCGACCATCAAAGATAAATTTAAGATACTTGAAAGCTTAAGTCTAATATTATGAGTTTCTGATTTTAAGTATAATAATATATTGAAGAATGTTGAGCAATTTTAGCTACCCAACTTTCTTACTATGCAAGCTCATAATTGCTTTGATAGGTGCGATTATTTTCTCAATCTTTATACACCTAAAAAAATGTAGCTTTATGGATGCATTCCACTGACGAGTTGAACAAGTTAAGTAAAGCTTAACATTAATTACTCAGTAGAACAGGAGTTATTATTGATAAAAAAATTCAACATCACGCTTTTTGATAGTTATAGATAATTATATACGTAAAAAACTAACGTAATACAGTGATATTATAGCATGTTGTATTGAAATTTACTTTAAAACACTATTACTATAATGGATAAAATATAATATCACTCATGATATAATAATCTTTATATTAATTAGTTTAAATATGTTTTTAGTTTTGGTATAAAATATTTGCAGTTTGATTATCATAAATACGTACAAATAACTCATTGATTTTGTAGGATTAAAAATATACTTTAATAAAATAAGAAAGGGACGAGTATTTTAAGCTTGTTATGTAAATGGTTGGATTTAAATAGAATCTTTTTTTTGTAGCTGAATTTTTATACACTGGACTATAATTTAATATGAATTGTAAATAAGCAATCCTAATTCTTAAACCTTAATGATTTAGAGAGTTTATTAAATTATTCTTGCTACTGAGATAAGTTTGTTTAAACTAGAAGTATACGATATGATCTACATCTTTTTGCTTCAGCCTCTTGTATACTTCTGCTGAATAAACCACGTTTTATTTCTTTAGTAAACAAACACCCTTTTGTAAAACGAAATTAAGAAAATAAAAGGAAAAAAACTAATAAATTGTAAGATATTTTACCACTCAGAAAAGTCTAGACCTTACTAAGAATAATAAAAAATAACCCTGTTTAGTGGACCATTTAAGTTTATAGATTTATAAAATCACCGTGACTAAACTTAATCCAGCTTCACTCCCATGTTTTGAAACCATGATTTTGAATCTATTTTGTAAACACTACATTATTATATCTTGTCTCTTCTATTGTTATTTTAATATAGGCAAACATTCAAAACAGTTTTTATAATCATACGTATACACAACCCCACATACACACAAACACGCACACATGCATACGCACATACATATGTGTAACAATATTAGTATTTAAATAATTTTGTTAATTGACAGTGTAAAATCCTGTTAACACCTTGAGAATATCTGATTGTTCATTAAGATCAAAAGGCGTTCGAATCGATTCATAAGAAAAACAGGTTGACATTTTCTACTTCTCACGATTTTGTTAAAATCTAGATTTTTGTATAAACAGTAAAATTTGTTCTATCAAAAATATGGTTTTTTAGTTTGAATAAGATAAAAAAACATCAACTTCTTTATCTAACTGATTTTTTCTCACATAAAAATTACTTGTCAGATTTCTATAGAATTTATCGGTACTAAAAAATAACTGTGAATCAAGAAAACTTTCAGACTGAGCTTAGAGTTGCAGAAGTGCCTCATATAATTCAATGCAGTTCTATAAATGGAATACCTATCTAAACTTAACTCTATGAATTAAAAATATTTCAATGATAGCTAAAGACTTTCAGTATGTTAGCTAGCTTGAATCAAAATAAAACAGAAAAAAATAGCATTGTCAGTACCATATATAATTAATATAAGCCTTTCAACATCATCAATGTGTATAAACGAGCATATACGTATACAGTTATATTTGTAAGTCTACATGAATATGCTCATGTTCACGTTCATTGCACATATGATAGAATAACTGTTAATAACGTTTAGATATGTTCCACTAATTGAGAGTAAAAGAAAGATCGTTGTCTTTATTTCACCTTTTTCAGAACAATTCTTACGAAGTTAAATTTAAAAAGCAAACGAATTTTATTGTTTTTTTAAAGCGTTTTCGCTGTAATGACGTTAAATTTACGATTGCGCTTATAAAAGAAGAATAATAATGTAATAATTAGAAGATTGTAGGTCATGCTTTATTACATGCTTACACTCGTAATGGCTTTTTTACTAAGCTTACATGATGTTAATTTTATTATTAGATACATACAAAATGTATCATATGTATGAGTTGAGAATGGCGTACTGTGTCTACGAGAAAAATTTAGGAAAATTACACGCATTCAATCGCTTGTACATACACACATTCATGCAGGTAAATGTTTGTTGATAAATAAAAAATAAATATTTTACATGGAGTAGAAAGTTATATGAGTTTTTACCGTAAAAGATAACAGGACAGTTTTGACGAATAAATCTTGAATATTATTTTTTCGGTATCTTTACAGTAGTTTTTCTAAGAGAAAAATTTGTCTGTTTCAGTCAGCGAAACGTCAGCAATGCTATAACATTAGTTGTCTTAAATGAGAAATATTGATGAAATTGGTAAATAGTAAATATAGTCTTTTCTATTTTTCAATTTGCTAGTTTCAAAAAATCATCATTCTATAAAAATTTAGTGATAATTTACATTTTTTTGTATTCGATAAATTGTAATTTTTTTAAAGGCATTAAAATTTCTTTTTTTTGTGCATTTAATAAGGTAGAGGCCCAATTTGTAATCTAAAAAGTATTCATACAAGTTTTTGACGTTTTAAATTTTTAAATCGGCTTATTTCATTAAGACCTCTACTTTATGACTATGGAAAATGATACATCATAATATTTTATTTCAGTATTTCTGCTACGGAGTTTTTTCTGTGTAGGTATAGCCTTTTTACCAGTAAAAACAAGCAATAGCTGCAGTGGTTGTTGCTGAATGCATATGTCTATGTACGCACGCGTCGGCTGAATTATGAATGTAAGTGTATCATACGTATAGTAAAGAGGCACAACAATTGGAGGTCCACTTGATCATGTCGCAAAATTATTTCAGTTTTTAGAAAGTCACTACCCAAACCGAATCCTGAACATTCCATAAAAAGCTTTGCTTCAATAGAAAACGTTATAAATAGATGAATCGTTTGGACTTAGTTGATCTTTTCGGGCGATATAAGAACTTGAATCACTTGATGCTAAGTAAAAATAAGAAAAATATCCTCCTCGGGTACGAAGTGGACACGCAACCTCCTATTTACTAGATAGTTGCTCTACCACTTAAGCTACCAAAAAGCCATACACTCACTCGCACCGTAGGTTTAAATGAGTTCCTATTCTTAATTTAGAGCTGTTTGAACTTAAGCAATTTCTTTTTTATCCACAAGCATCAGAATTATTTTTCAATATACTTATTAATATTAAACTTAAGATGAAAGCAGTTCAAAATTAAGAATGGAAACGTACAAATTGATTGAACTGGCGCTTTCCGGGAAAAGTAGGTTTTTCAGTCAACTAAGCCCGTAGTCCCGGTGTTGGCTTTATAATGTCCTTTCATTAGCGGAGTGGTAATTAATTATTTGTATCTTAATTACTTGTTCTGGATATTATTTTATTTTTCATTTGCCAGTTAAAGATATTGGAATGAAAATTATCCAAATGTATAGCGTTAGGCAAAGTAAGCCTATGTTTTATGTCAAATTAATTTTCCAATTCATGAGTGTATAAAGTTTGGTAACGGATACTATTTTATGCATTTTAGTAGGAATTTCATTGTGACACTGTATTGGTGTACGAGTATTGTCAATGAGATGACAATGAAAATTAGTCATATCTTTAAGTTTAACTGCTGTAATAACTGTATGCCGTCAATCAAGTAAGTTTCAAATCTTCTGCTTTCTTACTAACACAGTGTGTACTCATACGCTCGGATTGATTACTTTCTTTTGTTTGCGATATCGTTTATTATTAAAAATAGAATCGGAGGGCACCTTTTTAGAAGAGCTCAACACCATAAGTCATTTTAGTGTAACTGGTAATATGCACTGTGCACATCTCTCTTTAAAAGATCTGTATTTCAGCAGACGAACCCAGGATCCTGTTCTCGATTTGTTTATTATATTATAATCATAAAATCTTTGTCCTATATTTGTATGTAAATACTGATTTTTTACTTCGCCTTCGAGCTTTTGAGTCTAAAAAAATTGTAAAAATGAAACGTTCGAGAAGAACGCGTGGCAAGATTAAAGAGCAGTTTATAAAAAAAAAATGTCACTGCTGAAATTAAAAATACTATGATTAGTAGGCAAAAGCAAAGGGAAAAAACTAAGCAATTAAGTATCTGAGTATGCCATTTTACTAAACAGTAACATAATTATTAACTGTTTGACTACATTGTATCATAATTGTAAAAAAGTTTACTCAACCGCTTATTATTGTAAGAAAAACTTATGGAAGCATATTGGAACCATATGCCAGCAGTAAACGAATCTGGAACACGACGAGTGGTTGAGCTTGATACATTTAGACAATAATTATTATTTAAAAAGTACAGTATCATTTGATAGATGTAGGCTATTAAAAAAAAAAAAAAAACGTTTTCTGAAAGCTGTATATTTCAAAAGAAGAAAAAAGGAGTATTTTATGAGTCTGGGATAGCATTAGCAGGCTCATTACATTTAATTTAAAAAAATAATACAGTTTTTCATGAAACGTATTTTTAAGGTTGTAAATTGATTTTTTTCCATACTGAAACAGCAGGTACTTTGACAGTTTTGAAAAAGAAGTTATTTTAATAGCTCACATTGGCTTCACGTTTAATGTACCAAGAATTTGAAGATTAGTTTCCCAATGTAGAATCATCAACGAATTTACTTCCGTAGTAAAAGAATTTTCCAATACTTAACAATTATTTAGAAAAATTCTCCTTGAAAAACGAAAAGAGAAAAAAAGTTCAGTGTAGCTTCATTGCTGCTGACTATCTTCCTACTAAACAGAGTGATTCCTCACATAATGCCATAGAACATGTGAACGTTTTGCGTAAACTCACACAAAACATCTTACACAATTGTGGTATTATAATTAATAGTACAAAAGATGTTCAACAAATATTTCATGACCAAAATGATATAGGTAGTCAAGTAATTTGCAAGGCATCATTACAGGAATGTATACCTAATATATCAACTAAGATTATTCATTAAGTAAGTGTGGCTGGAATAAATAGAAATATTTTTGGAAGAAACCTTTGAAACAAGTGGCTTAGAAGGACTGGAGCTTTGGCTAAGTCAACGTATAAGTGGTAAAGCTCGTATTACAAATAACAAAGAAGTTATAACGAGTATATGGAGTTTATTCAAAAATAAACTTTTATTTCTTCAACACTACATTTAGTATTAAAAACCCTATTTCTAAAATGTGTATAACAATAACTGTGTTGCAAACAGCTCGTTTTTATTTATTTATTTTTTTAAATTCATCATTGCCTTCTAAGACGCTCAGATATGGCTGACACTATAAAGTGTATTTAGCCTTATGTTCTTTAGTTAACAGCAGGTGGAAAACGGTAGGTTGTTTGGAGCTCAAATCCCGTACAGAAAAAAACCTCATTAATTAATAAAAATTTTGGTATTGAGTGGAATTTGAACCCCGGCCATAAAGATCTGTAGTCAGACAAGTTACTGACAGAGCCATAATGTGAATGTATCATAATATGCTGACATATAACATAGCCATCCTCGTTGTAAGAATGCATGTGTGTAATGAAATCGTACATTACTTAAACCATACTGTATGTAAGAATGAATAGTTGACTTGCGCATTAATTGTCCATTTCTAATAAAGTATATCAATTAAAAAATTTTAATTACCACATTATTTCATTATACTCAAAATTTATTGTAATCCCAAAAAAGATTGAGTGCGAAATTTATAAAATTATTCATCAAACTTGAACTTGTATTTGCCGTTCTCTTTATTGCTGATGCGAGCTTTCATCATCATTGATCCCAAAAACTCAATCACACTTTACAGAAAAATGCAATTTGTACTGTTGTATTGTTATTTCCTTACACATGAAATCATAACGTGTAACATTATCGCGCAAGCCTACCAGTTTTCTGTCAACGCAGTCTGCAAGAACATCGCTCATTAGTTGACCTAATTCAACTAAAGGCCTCTTTTATTCTTACTAATGCTATATAAAACGCACCTTCAAGAAGTGAAATCGCTCTTTTTACGTCTGTCACATGTCCTCTAAAGTTTTAGTCTACTCTAGACTCCAACGACTCGCGAGTACCGTATTCGCTATGCACCTATGTCAGGTGGCGCCGTCGAGTGAGAGAAATCGTCCCTCACTGAGATCACCAGAATGAACAGAGTCTTATCGAAAATTTTTTTAAAAATCCAAGAAAAGGTTACTAAGAGTGGATTGACTAAACTAATCAGTGATTTGCGTGTGTATTATGTTAGTGTACAGTAATAAGTTTTGTTTGGTGTAGTCATGTATACTACAAGATTGGAGAAAATAAAAACATGGATTGCGATTGTAATAACACAGCATATATAAGTGCGTATTCATGCTTGCACTTATGAGGAACTTGAAAAACACAAGTACTGCTTACACATATCTATTTCTGACAACGCAGTGTTAT